ATCGACTATTTCTACATGGCCATTTTCAATAGCTTTTTGTATGTTTACCAGAGGGGAAGGAAAAACTTGAACCGGAAGGCCCCATGATCTTCATGGGAAAATTGGATTGGTTTCCGGTGAAGATTTTACTAAACCAATCCATTGACCCATGGTGTTTTTTCCTTGTTTAGTCAATAGAGATTACATATTGACTATGGGGATTTTACAGTGGATTTCTTGGGGATGTAAGAGATTTCTGTTCCAAACAACCGTTATGATTTGGGCGTGGATGGAAAATGGTGTTCTACTTCAAAAAAAGGAATACCGATGATTGATAATCGACCAATGGATTTGGAGGGTATATGAGGCTATCATATTTCTGACCCAATTGGTTGATATACAACAAATGGTGGTACTGTAAATTCCAGCCATATAGCTGATGACTGGCGGACAAACTATCCATTAAAAAAGGTCGCTTGAACCGCTTGAATTTAGAATCTGAAGGAAACAACGGTAAAACGCTAGTCAAATATGACATAGTTCTGCAATGTTTTCCTTTAATCAATTCCAGGAATGTACACAACAACTTGTAGCTGGTTGTAACCCACGAAGAAATATGAACCAATTCGAAGCATGTGTCAAACATCATCCATCTTCGATGGTGAAACTGCTTCAAGCCACCAACCAGAACTACAAATCATACAGTATGTGTATTATTTAGTATTATAAGGATGATTATATATTAACAATGGGCTATCATCTTATATTATTAATATATCCTCATTTGAATTATTATATAATGTTATATAATGTTATATAATGTTATATAATGTTATATACATATTATGCACACGTATACATCATAATTTGCTAGGTATGCTCCATCCCCATAGCCAACCCAAAATCCAAAAGCATTGCAGTCCATCTCCTCTTTTTTGGCAACAATCGCACCGCAGAGTGTCAGTTGCGCCCATAGCACGTCTCTTTTTGATCTGTCACATCCAGGGCGCAATTCGAGGCCAGAAAAATAGCAATCAGATTAATCAGCACCCATAAAATCCCATAAATATCATAAATGTGTAGGGGAACTCATGTGGTTTTTAGCCAAGAAAAAAGCCCCCATCATCCCCCATCCTAGCCATGGGATGATGTTGGAAATCATCCCCTTAGATTCCCAAATGATGCTTGGTGGGACGGTTTATGAAATTGGTTTTATATAACATACCCTCTGGTAAACTAACATAACTATGGAAAATCACCATTTTCAATGGGAAAATCCACTATAAATGGTCATTTTCCATAGCTATGTTAAATTACCAGAGGGTATCCCAAAGATCTTCCAAAACATGTGCAAGATTATGGGATGATCTCATAGGATTCTGTCTATCGGATAGCGTAGTAAGCCTCTACGACGAACTTGCGAACTTGAAGCACTTGCCATAGAAATAGTTGGTATTTACCCAAGAATAGATAGCATGGTGATGTTCAATAGAAAACTGTTTACCAGAGGGTATGTCATGTGTTGATTTTTCCGTGGCAATCAATACAGATTCTTTAGATGGAGGATATCATTGATATATACTTCTGCAGACTCCGCGAAGTAGGGGGAGGTCAAAAACTCAACAATTTCCGGGCTACCCAACGGCTTCACACATCTTCACACCCAAATTCACGCACCAAGTTTAAGTCCAAGAAAAAGCTCTGGCCAAAATCAAACCACATCGCAGTAGAGACGCTTTCCAAAAGTTAGAAAAATAAAAAACCTACGTTGTTGGCGGTTTCAACCCGTTCCAAGAATGATGAAGTCATTCGGGATCATCATTTCACAACCTGTTTGACACCACCAACCAAATACCCTTTGGTAAACTAGAACATCGAAAACCTGGCTATGGAAAATCACCATGCTATTTTCATGGGTAAATCAACTATTTTTATGGCCATGGCTTCAATAGCAAACTGTTAGTTTACCAGAGGGTATGAAGTGTGACTCAAACCACGTCATTCACGCCCCGAAGCGGGCTCGCTTCGCTTCTCGGACGTAGCCATTGGTCTTTTCGCTGTTCCTGAGTGAGATGTGAACTGTCTGAACTGCCCAGTGCATTCAAGCTTTCGCAATGCTGTCAATTTCAAGCGGGATCATGATCCTATACAATCTGTGTGGTGGTATACCTACCCCCCTGAAAAATATGAAAGTCAGATTGGGATGATTATTCCCAATATATGGAAAGTCATAAAAGCCATGTTCCAAACCACCAACCAGTAGTAAAAGAAACATGTTGAAACCACGAGAGAAATATCTCTGGAAACAAAGAAACTTGGAGTTCCAAGAGGCATGGATGTAAACACGACAAATACATATTGGGTGATATGTAATGGGAATATAAGCCGGGAACATCTTGAATGATAATGGGATATCATAGGGATATGATATAATATAAAGCTTGAAACGGTAAGTGAATCTACACATATACTGTATATATATATATACATACATACACTGTATCTAGAAACAACTGGAAAAACGTATATATAATATCGTACACCGTTGAGCAAAAATCTTGTACGGATTCACAACTTCAACCAGCTTGGCACCTTGGCATCCCACTGACTTGCGGGGTAACTCCGTACGCCAATCACTAGCCAATATTAACTCTTTTTATACCTATCCGTAGTTGAGAACCATTCAAGATCCTGTGTCGTCTCTTTATACTGCTGGCTCAACAGGACTTCCCGTCACAGATTGTACCATGTATGTATGATATGTAGCGGACTATATACCTCCAGCCTCGATTTATCAACGGAGGCTTAGCAGCCAGTGCTCAATTTAACATTAATAAAACCTGCATCTCTGGTCCCCAACACACACACACAAATATCATTATATCGCCTTCAATGCCCATAAAAGTGATTAATGTATGTTCATATACATTTAATTATCCTATTTGGTAGATATAGATTAATATATTTACCTTTATATCCCATGATGCTTAATCACATATATATATTTATTCAATTATTAAATGCCATACTTAAATCCCATTCATAGATTATCCTTCATATTCCATGATTAAATCCCATTAAACCACACTAAACCACATTGAATCCCATTGAAATCCAGTTTAGATTACATTAAATCCATTTCGAACAAGTTCGATGGTTGAAATGGTGGTTCTTGTCTAAATGTCCCCTTCAAACCATCCATGGAAGATTACTATTTAAACCATATTAAATCCATATTAAAACATATATCCCCTGGTGACTCACATGAACTCCACGCTTGGCTCCACGCGCCAAGCTCTGCCGCCCCTCTCTGCGGTCCTGGGCTCTTCACGCCTGGGGCATCCTCCACTCCCGAGGCGACGTCCACACCGAAGGGGCGGACGCTACTGACCAGCTCCTCGGGAGATCATCGGGACGGTCTACCCGTGGGATTTCGCTCGGGATTTCATAGGGATGTAGCCTCTGGTTATGACTAACATATGGTGGTTTAATGGTGGTTTAATGGTGATTTAATGGGAATTAATGGGATTAATTAGGATATATGATGGTATAGCCTCTGGTTACTAACAGTTTGCCATGGAAAATCCCTGGCCCATAAATGGAGGTTATATAATAGCTGGGAAAATCATCTATTTCTATGGCATATGGGCCATCTATACCATGGCGAACTGTTAGTCATAACCAGAGGGTATGTTCATGGGGGTTTCCACAGTCATGGGGGATCCCCAAGCTCGCTGGATGGGTTATTTCATGGAAAATCAAATTAAAATGGATGATTCAGGGGTACCCCCCATATAATCATCAGGGTAATGGGATTATAGAGTGATATCTGGGTTAATATTTTACCTGAATTAAGGCGAACTAACTGGCAAAGATGGTGATATACTGGGACATAATGGGATTTAACCAGCAAATATGATGACTTAACCAGCAAATATGGTGATAAACCTGGATATAATGGGATTTAACTAGCATATATGGTGATTTATGGTGATTTATGGTGATTTACTAGCACATATGGTGATATAATGAGATAACAAGTGATACAGAATGATACAGAATCACAATCGGCGAGATAATGGGGATGTATTTAATGGGGATATATAATCACTATGGGATACAACAGGATTTATTGTGACTAACCAACCAAGATTATGTTTTGGATATTATGGGGATATCTTATAGGTAAATCATCTATATAATGGGATAGAATAGGAATATTATGGGATTTGATGGGATTTTAGTGGGATCTTAGTGGGATTTAGTGGTACTTAACCAGCAAACATGGGAATATCATGGTGATATAATGGGATTTATCATTCAGAATGTATACAAGCTGGTGCTCCCCCAGTGTTGTTTGTTAGTTTCTAAGCCATAGGAATTATTACATCTATCATAAACTCTAGATATTGGAGTTATAAACTTAACTTAGCTAACTTTGGGGCACCACCTTGTATACTTAATGGGATATCAACAGCCAGAAATGGGAATTAGGCATATCATGGGATATATAACCCACCATTAAGGTCTACCCTCTGGTGTCATCAGACATGGCCAAAGTGGGTGGTCCCCTATCGGTTGTGAATGTTTTCGCAGAAATTTGAAGATCCCATGTCCACTCCCCACCACTTTAGTCTTCCGCAAAAATATGTCGCTTAATTCACAAAAACATGTGGGATTTGCCACCAGCGGAGGGAAAGTTGCGATATATCGGGAGCTTGGTCAATTCTCATCATGGATATGGCATGGTTCCCAGCAAACCGAATCTCCACAACTCGGTGGTATGTTTACCATCCTCAAATGGTAGGTAGGTTTATTGGGTGTCCCACATCAAGGAACCACATATATATTCTACAGTTGATGCAAGGAGTGCCGAAAACTCTGGTTGCAGAAGACACATTGATATATAGATTGTGGATGATGCAAAGTACTCGCAATGCAAGAGAATCTAAATGTTCTTCAAATAGTTGCGCAACTATGTATCATCTGGCAATGTCAGGCCATGCAATCGAAAAACTTTGTAAACAATGGTAAATCATCAAACCAATGATAAACATAAGTGAAACGCCACTTCGCGGATATAGTGAAAAATTGGCCTTTTTTAATTACCATCTGGATATTTAACATAGCCATGGAAAATCACCTTTTAAGAACGGTAAACCATCTATTCTATGGGCCATCTATACCATGGCTATGTGAAATATCCAGATGGTACATGAATTTACCACATCATCTGGATTTTGTTGGGGTATTAATCACATTACCATGGAAAACCATCTATATTTTCCCATAGATCATAGATGCTCCATGGTTTTTCCAAGGTTTTCCCATCGATTTTCCCAAGATCACCCGAGCTTCGGCCACATTCGCATCAGTGAGGCCGCCTGCGACAATCACCTCGGAGTCGAAACGATCGGAAGAGTTTGGATTTGTAATATCTTAGAATGGTGATACGGAGATACATATATATATATATATGCTTATATCATCTTATATCTCAAAAATGTTGGTTTAAGATGGTTTAACAATGTTTAACCAATGAACATCGTGGTTTCATGGGGATGTAATGGGGATATAATAACTTTATGCAATTTGAATAACCAACACGAGTTGTCTGTGGTTTGTATAAAATGACGATTACGTATAGGATCTAATAGGATTCACCTGCCATATTCGTATAGGGAATCAATGGGATGTCCAGCAATGGGATATAACTTGTATAACTAAATATAACTAATCAACACATATGTTCATATATGGGATGTTCATTAGTGTATATATGTGTATATAGTACATATAATAATCAACACAAGTAATTCCAGCTGGGAATATATCAATTGGATTCACTTGTTCATATATGTTCATATGTGTATTCCCGGAATTGGTTTCTTGGGAAATCATATGGGAATATCCTCGGAATACAACAAGAATTACTCTCTGGTAATTTAACAGTTTGCTATGGACAATGGCCCATTTATAGTTGATTTATCTACCTTTTAAAAGTGGTGATTTTCCATAGTTATGTTAGTTTACCAGGGGGTAATTATCAATGGAATGTATAACTGACATCATGATATACGGCAATCTGACTACACCTCCCAGCTGGCAATAAAAAAAATCATTACCATTAATGATGACTAAGTGGATTTAGGGGGGACCCTATTTTCAGCCACACCCGTATCTTTCATTGAAATCAACCATCATAGGGAGAAAAGCTAACTGATTTCAAACAACAAAACAATTTATGATTGAATCATCACATCATATCCAACATAGATATTGATCTACGGTACATTACAGTGTATATACCATGCAATGGAACGTTGAAATATTGACATCATACCGAATCATACCGAATCAACATATATCTACAGATCTACGCCAATGATCCTCCCCTCGCCACCAATTGGCTTTCTTGGGAAAATTGCCACCGGATTTCCGCAGGATTCCGCCCTGGGATTTCATTATGGGAAAAGCCGAAAAAAAAGGAGATAGTTTCCCATGGATTTTCCTGTTTCAAACATCAACATCTCCACAATTTCCATCAACAAACACAATAAATCCCATGACTTTCACAGGAGAAGTTAACCGCTTCAATTTCTCCCTCCAAGTGATCCAAGACACGGGAATGCCCCACTCCTCCTGGCGGAAATCCCATAGGACGAAATCGAGTCGAGTCGAGTCGATATGTCGAGTCTATGGCCACGCCATCCAGGGATCCCAATGACCTTAACTGGTTGGTGGTTAAAAAACCATGGTTAATAGTGAGTAATAGTGGTTAATATAGTGGTTATTAGTGATTAATACCTAATCTATAATAGTGGTTAATAGTGGTTAATAGTGAGTAATAGTGGTTATTAGTGATGAAAATAGTGGTTAATACCTGATCTAATGAATAATATAACTGGTTGGTGGTGCAATTTCACCATCTTGAAAAATGATGGAGTTCGTCAATGGGTTTCGGATGACATCCCATATATGATTATTCTTATTATGGACAATAAAACATGTTTGAAACCACCAACCAGATAAGAACAACTTCAGTCTCAAGAGATCTCAAGAGGCGGCGTTAATATTTCTGCCTTTCACCACACCAAATCCCCGTTCCCCGTTCCGATCTCCTGACAATGCTTGGCCACGTTCCAATCAAAGGCCGCACCAGTGCCACCCGAATTGCTGCCCTTCACTGCGGTGTCCAGCAAAATCGCATCACAGGAGGTGTAGGATGACCTTCGCAAGGCGCAACACGTATGATAAGATATGTATGTCTCAGCCCCTACATCCACCATAGTTTCTTTTTGGGTGTTTAATCTGAACCTAACATGAGCTTAAAATAGCTTAAAAATAGATCTTAGTTTTGCATCCTAAGATGGGAAAACATCCTGTTGTCCAAGGAATTGGGCAAATGGAATGATGATATTGATTCTGCAAATTTGAGTTGGAAAAAGAAGCATCAAGACATGTCAAAATTGCAAGGACCCAGTCTCAGCAATTTTGAAATCATCAAGTGAACTTCAAATAGCAAAATAGTGTCAAAAAAAAACAAATATGCTCCATGCATGAAGTTGCTGAAACATATTTCAGTGGGATGCCAACCAAAGCACCAAGGCGACACAAGGGGCCCTACATTTAGGTTGAAGCCCAATTGGGGACGGTTTGACTGGACCCAAAATGGTGACTGAACATAGCGAAGCCATGGCCCATTGAGTTCGTTGATTGCGGCGATGGTGATGTTCCCTAGCAAACTGTGAGTTTACCAAAGGGGTACCTTTAAACAGCACCTATCAGATAATGGCCCAGCCATGGCGAGCGACAACTTCTCCTTCAGTTGGGCCAGTTGGCCCTCCCCGTTCTTTGCGGAGGTCTTCGGCGGCAGATGCACCACTTTGATAAGCCATGTGTCCTCAGGATCACTTCTATCTGAGGTAGGAGGTGGTGCCCACAAATGATAGCTAACTTGGTGAACATCACTAGGATAACTATATGGTAGCTTGTAGATGCATCGAACTAGTTCATGGGGGTTATAAACCAACTTATAACTGGGTGGGTACCACCTTGTATAGATGTCGACAGATCTTCTTGGTCATCCATGCATCACAAATTCATGTTTTGTGTGTTATGTTGGATGTTGGATTTCTCCAAATATGAAACATGTCCCCAGAAGGTTTCTGTATATTGTCGTCCAATACACAACCATATGCATTTTTGTAGGTAAATAAACCATATGGACCATGGAGCATCTGGGAAACAGTATAGCGCATTGTTTTCAATCATGTCGCAAGACTAGTGATCAACCGACGCCAGCTCAGCTGCTCACGTTAAAAACAATCCCAAGTGTTCGCGACAGGTAAAGAATGTTAAATCCACATCGTTGACACTTGTATCATCATGAGTTATCATTGTATACTACATACATTGACCACTGTCAACAATAAATCTGTAACATTCTTTAACCACTGTGACTGTTCTCGAAAAAAAAAAATATCAATCATTTTTTACCAGTACAGTAACCTTTTTGTTGCCCATAAAAAAACAACCAAAATTAATTCCACACAATGGCCTGTGTCAGCCACAAATCGACCCGCCATGACTATCAACCATGATGTTGACCTTTACCATCAAATCCTCCACAAAAGCATGATCAACCATTAGAAACCAACATTTAAAAAAAATGTTTAGCAATTAAAAAAATATCCAGCCATCCAGCACGACATTTCCACACACAAGAAAACTCTCAAATCCACAAAAAACCTCTACCCTTTGGTAAATTAACATAGCTATGGAAAATCACCATTTTTAATGGGAAAACTCACTATAAATGGCCATTTTCAATAGCAAACTGTTAAATTACCAGAGGGTAGAAATCTCCATGGCATTTCCCAGCTTCTGGCAGCAACTTCTGCAGTTCCTCCACGAACTTGGCATCCTCCGCGCCATGCAGCTGCACCACGTCCAGCTCCACCGCCAGGGCCGTAGCACTCACCTCCTCCAGTGGCTGGTCCATGAAGACACCCACCTGGGATCGACAGTTGTTCATTGGAAAAAAATGGGGATCTTGGGAGATGGCGAAGGGTTGGGCTTCGATTTTTCGAAAATTAGGGTCGTAGTGGTTTAACATATGTTTTAACTGGCATGAAAAAAGGGAGTTGACTCTAGCAACAATTGGGCAACCAGCAACCAGCAAACATTGGATTAGGGAATTAGGTGGGCAGGGCAAGGCTGGTGGAAGAACCGTAAACGTAAAATGGTCACTTATATACAAGGACCCTTCGGAAGCCGTAGTTTGACATGTTGCAATATTCTGCCTACAAGAGGACATGCTCTTTGTTCCAGACGAAATAGATTTTTACAAACTTCATAAACAGTACCCTCTGGTAAACATACAAAAAGCTATTGAAAATGACCATTTATAGTGGATTTTCCCATGAAAAATGGTGGATCTTTCCATAGCTATGTTAAATTACCAGAGGGTAAACTACTCTACTCATTTTGGATGTGCAAACATGGAGGGATCAGGTCGTGGAGGTTCAAGGAAACGACCCAAAAAATCCCCGAAGAATATAGATGTTTAACAAACCCTGATGAGTGATTGTTGGTGGTTGAAATGTTTGTAACAATGTAATCTGGTTGGTGGTTTTAACATGTTTTAACCATCTTGAAAAATATGAGTTCGTCAATGGGAAGGATGACATCCCATATATGAAATGGAAAATAACATTCATGTTCCAAACCACCAACCAGTAATAAACCCTTATTGGGGGTCACCTTTGGGTTGGTTGAATCCCAATGAAAGTGGTGAATCACACACATCCAAGTAGGAGGTGGGCCTCAGGATCTCATTTTTCCCAACAAAAACCATGGGATCTTCGCTCTTCAAAGGTGGTCAATAGCAAAGGCTGGAGCCACCGAACAGGTCGAAACCCACTGAAGTTGATAAAAACACATGTTCTGTGGGCTGCATACCAATTGAAGCTGCTTCAAGTCAACATATGTTGCTGATTGTGACCTCCCATTCTTGTTG